AACTTCAAGCCAACAGTAAACCAACTTGGGCCAATTAGCACATTTTAGAAAAAAAATTTCAAATATCTCCCTAGGCCATTATTTTAGAATATGATAATTTAATTGAAATGTAAAATGACTACTTAAAACAAAGTTGTTTTCAAACTGACTTACTACTAGGTAAATAAAAATAAAGTCTAGAGTGCCATTGAAAATACTGGTCAAGCCATGTGGTGGTGGCACAAGCCTTTGATCCCAGCACTCAGGAGGCGGAGGCAGGAGGATCTCTGTGAGCTCGAGTCCAGCCTGGTCTACAGAATGAGTTCTAGGATAGTCAAAGCTACACAGAAAAACCCTGGCTCGAAAAACCAAAAGAAAAAAAAGGTACTGGTCAATTATCTAGTTTTGATAAATGTACCAAGTTTATATGAAATGTTAACTTAAGGAGGCAATGGACCAAAGGAAGACAGTTTTCTAAACTATTTCTGTTCTCCATTGATATAAAGTTGTTTTAAAATTAAGAAGAAAAAGAAACAGTGTTTATAAAATTGGGGAAAAAAAAATGTTCTGCCTGGCTTCCATGTTGAGGATCTATTCAAACAAGTGAAAAGCTTCACAAATTTAAATAAATACACAATAGAACTCTCAACCCTTCCTAGACATATAACTGAACTGAGGTCACTGGGCCAAAACCCAAATGCACAAGACAGAGGTGTAGAACGTACAGGAAAAGTATCCTCCAAGGACACATCATGGGTGGGAAGGCCTGACTGTAGTCACCAGATTGATGGAGGCTCAGCGTGTCATCTGAGAGAGAAACTCCAGGAGACTCAGCAGTGGGGGCTCCCACAGTTTTGTGAGTTTTACTTCCTAGAGATTTGGCCAGGTTCTCACAGTAAGAGAGAAAAATCCCACTCTATTTCAGAAAGGGAGAGAGACAGGGTAGGGGGATGAGAGGGGGTCTGTAGTTGATATGTAAAATGAATTTTAAAAAGGAGAGAGAGAGCTCAAACACATTTTTATTTGTTTTCTTGGTTTATTTGTTTGTTTGGGTTTTTGTTGTTGTTGTTTGAACAAGGTTGACCATCGGGAAAAATCGACTGCCTGACTGATAGCGCTCGGCACGCCCGACTTCTGTCAGTTCCAGCCATTAGTTCCATGGAAAACAGTTAGGGAGAGCTGAGAAATACTTGTGAAGTTCACCTTCCAGAAGCACAGTCTCCCCAAATGATGGACTGTAGACTAACACTTTCTGACTGTAATGGCACAGGAAATAATCCAAGAAACTGGAAAAGTTGGATTACGTGAAATTGTGATGCAGTGCAAAGGAAATAATTCTCAGAGTCAAGAGACAGACTATAAAACGGGGAAAAAATTCATCACTGTCTACACATTAACCAAGACATTGCTATAAAGAACCACAACAATTAAACACTGATACCCCCAAATTATCCAGCCAGCAAATGGGCTGATGAATCTATAGGCATCTGTAGATGTGTATATGATCTGTAAACACTCGAAAAGTTGTTTAACATCTTTAGCTATCAGGGATTTGGAAATTAAAAGTACTTTGAGATTCCATGTCACTTCAACCAGAATGACAGTTATCAAGTGAACAAATAACAAACACTAGTGAAGACGTGGAAAAAGAGAAACTATCATCCACAACTGCTGTGAGTGTAGAATTGTGTGGCCACGATGGAGGTTATTAGAGAGTTCCTTAGAAACTGCAAGAAAATAGAATTACCATATGGCCCAGATACTCCATTCCTGGGTGTATACACAAAGAAAGCCCAAGAAATCTAAGTCAGCATGTGGTAGAGATACTGGAATATCCATCTTTATTGCTGCATAGGTACAATAGCTAAGGAATGAGACCTGCTTAGATTCCTAACCAACAAGGAATAAAATATCACACACACACACACACACACACACACACACACACACACACACACACACACAGAGTAATTTTAGACAGTCATAAAAATGAAATTCATGGAAAAATGGAGACAGAAATATTATGTTAAAATATTGTTATATATTTGTTATATATGTGTAAAACAACTAAATCCAATGTAAGTATAACATATGAAATGTTAAAGCACAATTCAATGAAACTGATAATAAGAGATCAACAGAGAAAAATGAATAAAACCAAAAATCAATGTTTTGAATAGGTAAATAAAAAGTGGTAAACTCACCGTCATTGTAAGAAACAGGACACAAACAACTACCCCAAACATTAAAAGAGATGCACATCACTCCAGACCCCATAGATGTTGAAAGGATAATCAAACACTCAATGACCACAAACTTGATCATCTACATTAAAAAGACTATTTGAAATACATAATAGACCAAAACTCACAGAGAAGAAACTGACATGGAATACTCCACATGTATCTAATTTAACAGATTAGGCCTGTATCTAATAATGAAATCTACTAACTAATAACCTTCTGAAACAGTGGTCCAAGCTCAGAAATGTTGACTGGTTGGTTCTATCAAACAGTGAAGGAAGGAAATTGTATTATTTATTTACAGTATCCTTCCAAAGACAGAAACAGAGAGACTATCTCATGAATGAGTCTTTTCACAAGGGTAGTATTCCTTTAATACTGGGACCAAAGACACAGCCAAAAGAAAATGTCTTCGTCCACTTTGCTTTCCTCTAAAAAAAAATATTTGAGAGTCGGTTGACCTCAAAAACTATGGAATTGACTTATGATCCCAGTAGCTAGAAAGTCCAAATTCCATGATACTGGCATTGAGGAAGTCACTGCCCACACCAGGCCTCCATCACTACAAGGTGAGTAGGGGATGTGAAATAACTGTGTGAGAAAAGGTGGAGGAAGAGCAGCCATGAAAGCTGAAACTGCTTTATAACAATTGGTTCTCCTGGGAACGAAACAGTGGCATGGGATCTGACACATCCCTGTAAGTAGTAGTCAACCCTTTTTGAGGATGGTGCCGTGCCTAATCCCCCATTTAGGCCCCACTTCTATCCATTCCCTTCCAATACTGTTATATTGAGGACCAAACTCCCAGAACATGACCATTAGTGTACAAACCTTATTGAGAACATAGCCATCATTCATGAACATAGATGCATCAATCCCCAACAAAGTCTTAACAAATAAAACCTAACAATGTACAAATAGAACTGTATGACCCCCACATTTATTTACTTAGGGTGTTCAAGGGACATTTAACTTGAAAATTTGATTAGGCTGGGGAAATGAAAAAGTATAGGATGCTTTGCCTGGAATGAATAAGACCCTGAGTCCAATCTTCAGCATGAAAAAAACAATAAGTAAAGTCAATATAATCTAGTGTAGCAGGAGAGTTTCTCTCCAGGTCCTGTCAAGCCCCAGCAGTCCCACGGCCCACTTATAAAATAAACACACAGACTCTTATATTATTTAAATTGTTTGGTCTAATGGCTCAGGCTTCTAGCTATCTAGTTCTTACATCTTAAATTAACCCATGCTGATTGGCCAGTAGCCAGGCAGGAAGTATAGGTGGGACAAGCAGAGAAGAGAAATCTGGGAACAGGAAGGCTGAGTCAGGAGATGCTGCCAGCCACCACCATGAGTACCAACATGTAAGTTACCTTGCCACATGGCTCATGGCTTCCCAGTATCAGCATTTTATTTATACAGAGCGATATCCACAGCACTCTAGCACATCAACAGACTAAACAAGAAAAAGCAGATGATTATGTTAATAATGCACAAAGGGCATTTGATATAATTCAATACCCATTCTAAGTAAATGTTTTCAGTAAACTAGGAATAAAGGGAACTTCCTCAATTTGATAAAGGACACCCATAAACACATTCAACCAGTGTTTTCCTGCTAAGATCAGAAATGATACTAGCATATACTCTTTCTGCTACCTTTCAACACTGTACTGGAAGTTTCAGGGAATGCAATACGACAAGAGGGAATAAAGGTTATACAGATAAAGAATAAAAAATAACTGTCCTTGCAGATGATATGATAATGTCATGTATTTAAGAATATGAAAAATTCTGAAGCTAGTAAGCCATGATATTAAAATTTGAAGAAATCTGAATGTATTTGCAGAAATATATAGGTATTTGTATCAGCTTTACTCGAAATCGTTAAAGCTTTAGGGTACCTTAGCTGTCCTTAAGTCATAGAGTAGATAAAACTGTAGCACATCTGACAATGGAATATTATTCAGAGGTAGAAGAATAAGCTATCAAGTCATAAAGTATATGAAAAGAATTTTAATATGAATTCCTAAGTTAAAGAAGCTATCTGTAGGTGCTAGATGGTGGATTATTCTAACTCCATGAAATTCTAGAAAATGAAAAAGTATGGACATAGAAAGATCTGGGTCTGCCAGGTGTAAAGCTCAAAGTAAGAGCTAAAAGGCAGAGCACAGGGATTTTAGTACAGTGATGAAATAATTCTATAAAATGCCACAGTGGTAGATACACATCATTATACACTTGTCCAAATCCAGGCTGTACACCGCCAATGTGAGGGATGTTGACAGTGGCAGATGGCATATAGGAAATACCTGTACCTTTCAGTGTTTTATGTGAAAATAAAAATGTTCCATAATGCCAATGTATACCTAAAAACATCTTAAAACATCACCTCGATTTAGTCACAATGATTTGTTGAAGAACACGAGGGAGGGCCCCATTACAATCAAGGTGATAAAAAATGAGTTGGTATGAGAGGTAATCTAGATAAGAAAACATCCAAGGACTACGGTTATATTGGAGCTCAGCTCCACCACAATGTATGTTTTCCATAAGGTTTGCGAAATAAAGAAACAAAAAACTCCACTGAGAAGTTAATAGATGGAAAACAAACTTTTCATACTATATGAACCTTGGCCTTCAGGTTAAAAGCTATCAAGGTACAGGAGGCATCTTGGGCTTAGCAGGCCTCCCCCTTCTTGAGAGAGGCCAGAGAATGAATACAGATGGGTTGTGTTTTGCATGAAGAAATGGATGGACAGATCCAGACAGACTCACACAGCTTTGCAGAGCACGCTCAGAGTTAGACAGGAACAGGTCTATTGCAGAAGAGCAGGGGGAAACTTGACACAGATGAACAGCCACAGATGAGAAAGAGCCAAGCATAAATTGGGAGAGAAAAAAGAAAAAAAAAACAGAAAGGTTAGATGCTTGGTTTAACCTACATGAACACCCAGTTGTTCCCAACAGAGAGTAGGGAAGGAAGCATGATCATTGTGCAACATTGTTATGCCGTATTGTGTATTTAACAGCCCAGCTTTATAGAAGTTGGCATTGGATTTTGAACATGTAAATGTAGCATAAGTATATTTGATACCCTTTGAATATATAATTACACTACTTAAAACTTAGGTAGTAAGATATGTATGTATATTATTTGTCTAGCCTAAGCAATTAAAATTTTAAAATATTGGGCACTAAACTACTACACCTTCCCAGTAAAAACAGTGCAAAATTTTTAACCGTAAATTTTAAAATAGAGAAGCACTGAGCAAGGGTCTCTGTAGGAGGACGTAGAGACCTTTGAGGATGTGCTCAGATGGTATGACTGGGTCATGTGGGAGGCTTATTTTCAGATTTTTTTGTTTTGTTTTGTTTTATTTTTGAGGAACATTCACACTGATTTCCATAATGGCTCCACCAGTTTGAAATCCCACCAACAGTGAATATGTTTTCCCCTTTCCCACAATTATGCCAGCATTTTTTTTTTAAATATTCTTAAAGTAGTTTTAGTTTGCATTTCCCTTATGGCCAAGGATGTTGAACAAAAGAGATTGCTTAGACATTTTTGTTTCCTCTTTTGAGAACTGATTAGTCCCATGGCCTGTTTTTTAATTGGGTGATTTGTTTGCTTGGTGTTTGTTTTTTTTGTTTGTTTGGTTATATATATGTATATATTTATATGTCTATATCTATATCTATCTATCTATCTATCTATCTATCTATCTATCTATCTATCTATCTATTCTAGATATTACCCCTCTGTCAAGCTGGCAAATTTTTTTCTGGTCCTATAAGCTGCCTCTTCACTTGATTGATGGTGTCCTTTACTGTACAGAAGCTTTTAAGTTTTATGAGATCCATTTGTCAATTGACAGTTTGAATTCCTGTACCATTGGAGTCCTACTCAGAAAGTCTTTTTTTTGTGTCTATAAATTAAAGCATATTCCCAACTTTCTAATTTAACCAATCCAGGGTGTTTGATCTTCCCTTGAGGTTCTTGATCTATTTAGAGTCAAGTTTTGTGTAGGGTGAGAGATAAGGATCTAGTTTCATTTATATATAGCTATCCAGTTTTCCATCACCATTTGTGAAAATGCTATCTTTTCTTCAATGTGTATATGGTGCCTGTTTGTTAAAAACTAGGTGGCTGTAGGATCCTGGGTTAATCTAGAACTTCAGCTCTGTTTCACCGGTCAATATGTCTAATTTTTATGACAGTACCATGCTGTTTTGATTTCTGTGGCTCTGTAGTATAACTTGAAATCAAGGATGATGATACTTTCAGCAGTGTTTTTAATGATTCAGATTATTTGGATCCAGGGGTCTTTTGTGTTTCCACATGAAATTTTATTTATTTTTTTCAATATCTGTGAAGAACTGCAATGGAAATTTGATGGGGGTTGTATTGAATTTTTGTTAGGATGGCCATTTTTACAATATTAATCTTACCAATACATGATCATGAGAAGTCTTTCTACTTTCTTGTGTCTTTTTCAGGTTCTTTCTTCAAGTCCTGAAGTTTTCACTGTAAATGTCTTTTAGATTTTATTTATGTTTTTGAGACTACTATAAATGGGATTGTGTCTCCTATTTCTTTCTTTCTATGCTTCTGGTTAGTATATTAAAAAGGCTGCTGACTTTTATGTGTCAATTTTACATCCTGATACTTTGCTGACTGTGTTCCTCAGATGAAAGAGTTTTTTGGTGGAGTCTCTAAAATTTTGTATAAATATAATATCATCTGCAAATAAAGATACTTTGACTTTTTCCTTTCCTATTTATGTCTTCTCTATTTCCTCTTGTCTCATTGCTACAGCTGAGACTTCGAGTACTATATCAAACAAGAATAGAAAGAGTAGACATCCTTTTCTTGTTTTTCAATTTAGCAGAAATATTTCAAGTTTTTCTGATGTTCATTTGTTGACTGCCCTCATTTTGTTGAGCTATGTTTCTTGTAGCTGCAATTTCTCCAGGACTTTTATCATGGAGAGATGTTGAATGCCAGAGGCCTTTTTGCATCTAATGAGATAATCATTTGGTTTCTGTCCTTGAGTCTGTATATGTAGTGGATTACATTTATTAATTACACTGAACTATCCTTGCATATCTGGAATGAAACTGAACTGATCAGTGGTGGATTGTTTTTTTTTTTTTTTTTGGTGGGGGGGAGTTGGTTTTGTTTTATTGTTGTTGTTGTTGTTCAATTGGGCTTACAAGTAGTTTAGTAAGAATTTCTGCATCTATGTTCATCATAGAGATTGGTATATAATTTTCTTTTTTTGTTTGTGTCTTGATCTGATTTAGATATCAGTGTAACACTGATTTCATAAAGAAGAATCTGTACCTTTCCTCTTCTAGTTTACGGAAGACTTTGAGGAGTATTGGCTTTAATCTTTCTTTAAAGATCTGGTAGAATTCTGCAGTAAATATATCTGGTCTAGGGATTTTTGTTTGGTTGTCTGGTTTTGGTTGGTAAGTTTTTTAGTTTTTATTATAGATTCAATAAATGGGCTTCTGAGATTGTGTACTATCTAGTATTTTGAGGGAATGTTCTGTAGAGATCCATAGGTCATTTTGCCTATGACATCAGTTAGCTCTATTTCTCTGCATTTTGGCTGGAGGATCTGTTCATTGGTTAAGATGGATTATTGAAGTCACCTGCTATTAATGGGTTGGTTAGAATAATCTGCTGCTTTGCTTCAGCAGTGTTTGCTTAATGAAGTTGGCTGCATATACGTTTAGGATTTTAATGTCTTCTTGATAAATTTTTTCCCTTGATCTACATGAAGTAACATCTCTTATTATTATTTAAAGTCTATTTCATCAGATATTATAATAGAAGCTCTTGCTCTTTCCTGGTTCTTTTTTTTTTTTTTAATGTATTTGTATTTTATGTATCAGTGCTCTGCATGTATACTTGCATGCCAGAAGAGGGCATCATATCCTGTTATGGATGGTTGTGAGCCACCATGTGGTTGCTGGGAATTGAGCCCAGGACCTCTGGAAGAGCAGCCAGTGCTCTTAACTGCTGAGCCATCTCTCCAGCCCCCTCTTTCCTGGTTAGATTTGATAGGAATACCTTTGCGCATCATCTCACTCTCAGGTGAATTCTATCTTTAATAGTGAGGTTTTCTTGGAGGTAGCAGAAAGATGGAACTTGCTTTGTAATCCAGTCTACTAATCTGTGTCTTTTGACTAGGAAGGTGTTAACATTGATGTTCAAGGTTATTATTGAAAGATGTGTGTTGATTTATACCATTCTGTTGATTCTGTGGTCTTTGTTTTCTTAGTTTTCCTTTGTTTAATCACTGACCGAAGGTTGATATTTTTCTCCACTATCAGCTTTTGGTGATATGCTTATCTCTTACTTCAGTTTGAAGTATTCCTTCCAGTATCCTCTTTAGATCTGACTTGGTGGTCATGGATGCCTTTAATCTGCCTTTACCCTTTGTTAATAACTTATAGTTTGATAAATATAAAATCTGGACTGGCATTTGTAGTCTTTCAGAACTTGTAGAATGTCAGTCTAAATTCCTATTTCTTTAATGTCAAGTTTCTCTTGACATTATTTTGATGGGCCTGACTCTATATGTGACTTGGCTTTTATATTTTTCAGTTTTAAATGCCTTTTATTTGTTCTATACATTTCATGTTTTGACTATTATATACACGAGGTATTTCTTTGTTGATCCTGTCTATGCAGTGTGCTATAAGCTGCTTGTACCTTGGTAGAAATTTTTTTCCTTATATTTGGGGATTTTTCTTCTACTATTTTGCTGAAAATATTTTCTGTGCATTTGACCTGGGTTTCTTATTCTTCTAGAGTTATGATTCCCTGGTAGAAATGCATGATACTCCACATGGTCCTCAGGCTACAGGGCTGGGGTGTCTATGAGGATTGGATGAGGATCACTACATCAGCATATTTTCTTGAAAATTCACCTAATACATTTTTCTTAGATATAACATTAATCGGTCATATGACTAAGCATTTGAGAGCAATATGTCTGGAGATATTGGGGAAAATAATACTTCTTTATGAAAAGAAAACTCAGAAGATGATATAATGTTCATAAATACCTTTTTTAAACTACACACCAATATGGGCTATATTTATCATTACATGTTGAAGAAATGTTAAGATGAGACTTAAATGCTAGTATAACAAAAGCTCAGATTTTCAAAAATTATACAATTTTAAGTATACAGCTTACCTATAGTCCATGTAAACCTTCCCGAATTAACAGTGTAGTTTTCCTAATATCCCTGGTTGTTTGAGTTTTGGTTGAAAAGATAGTCATGTTAAAACCACATCAAGTCAAATCTGCAATTTACCTGTTGAGATTGCCATTTATATTTGTATTTTAAGGTATTATGCTATAAACCCTTGAATATCCAACATCTTATTTTTAGTGTTTGAGCAGGAGAGAGTCACAAATCCTAGGCCTATCCCTGCCTAGACGTCATAGAAAACTTCAAACAACCACAGGAACAGATGCTAACTGGCCAGTGTTACCTTTTGTGTGCTGAAACATGTTTATTACAGACAGGTGTAAGCCTAGCAATTTGAGACAGAATTGTAGCAGATCCCAGACAAATACGATGGTGACAGCTGTCGTGGACATTATTTTGTGATGTTCTATGGCTAAGAACTGGGTTTGGCAGCAGGTGTTAGGAAGACTCAATGCCAGAAAGCCGAAGTTTAGAAAGTAGGGCGGTTAGAAGGAGGAAGTCAGATGAAGACCTGGAGTACTAGACTACCAGCTCACAGTACTTCAAATGTCACACCCTTTTAGGAGGAACTCACAGAAACATAAAAAAGTGTCTTGTTCACAAATAT